GATCAATCCCTAATTGATCTATTTATTCCCAATTCTTAGTAACAATCCGGGAACACCTAGGTCTTGGTTTCTATAAGAGCTACACCCTGATAAAATCGTTATTGTTACTTTGCACGTAACGAACATATTGGTGCTTATATTTACCAAGCAACATCAACAAGAAAATCTCCACTAACCAAGTCTAGTAATTAATATATATATATATATATAAACATGAAGTACGGTTACTATTGCGTAACTATTCACATTTTAATACCCCAATTTTAATTAAATCATAATTTAGTCATTATAATTTACATTTTTCATTTTGACACACCAAATTTAATTTTAATGTAAAATTATTGAACAATTATGTTTTGGTATCTAGAACGGGTCCATACACGACTCACCAACAGTCTAGAGAATTAATAATTGAACCATGAACCACTAACTTTTCAGCTCAATGTCGAGTCCAATTAAAAATAAATATATATGGTTATTACTTATTAGAAAGTCGTCAATTTCCACTATGGAATTTGAAGGCGTGAAATTTTAAGTGAGTTTCAGTTTGTATTCCTTTTGCTTCTCTCTAGAGTCTTTCTTTTTCTCCCGGGCTAGAATTTTCAACAATTATACATGGAATGTTTCGCTAGGTATCTACACATATCAAATAAATAGTTTTCATTTTTCTATCAAAAAGTAAATAATTATCATCTTAAATACGTCACCATAAAAGGAATTAAGCCTCAAGTATGCAAATTACAATTCGGTACTTAAACTTAATAGATCTTTAGATTTATAACCTAAAATTATTTTTTGCACCTAAACTTAATAGATCTTTTGTGTTACATTTTGGTACCTAAACTTTTTAGTTCTATAAATAGGTCTAATTTTTGTATGTGTAATTAAAACACCCTCGAATAAATGGGTATACATACCTAACTCATACAAATTTAGATTATGGAAGTAAATATCCATATATGGCGGTCACCCAAACCCTACCCATAATCAATGGGTCTACTTGGGTTTAGGTAAATATCATTTACTAGCCAAAATTTTCAAAAAAAATTAAATTGGTTGTTGACCACCATATATCTTTTCCTAGTCAATATTACTAACAAAACTGCTAACAAAAAATAATTTTAGACTAATAATACTAACAAAACACGATAACGGATCACATAATACATGCTCATATGCTATCTCTGCTCCGCGACAAGGCGCGACATCGCCACCTAGTTTTATATTAATAATTGATGTAATTATGTGCTGGCTAAGCCAAGCATCCATACATATGTCAATCATCATCAAGTTTGTCAAACTGGTTTAGTCATTGCATCAATTTAGCAAGTGATATAGTTCAAATGGATAACAACTGATTTATACCGGTTTAACAAAATAAGTAAATATGAAAAATAATTAATATCAAATGAATTTAAGTATATATAAGATATATTTGAAAAACAATCTACTTACAATCTACATTCATATTTAAATAAAATACAATACTCCAAACAAAATAAAAAATATTCATATTTAAATACAATATTTAACGACAACAACCAAACCTTTATAGTTGCATCCAACTATGATGACATCATTTTGCTTAGGGACCGAAAAACAATTATATCGATAGTATTACATTCAATTTCATGACCAACACCAACTATATCATATTCAACCGGCTTACATTTTATCTCGAACTCTTTAGTAGTGATGGCAATTTGAACTTGGCCCGCTGGTATTAGTCGACCTAACCCGCGATGGGGCGGGTATTACCTGACTCGTAGTAGCGTGGAGCGGGACATGAGTATCTACTTTCGAACCGTCTTGCCTCCCCCCGTTCTTGACCAATTTTACCCCAATTTTGCCATATATATATATATATATATATATATATATATATATATATATGGTGCCTACTTCGGTGCACTCACTTTTTTGGGTGCACTCAGTGCACCCAACTCTAAAAGCGTCCATAATACATCAAATTTTGAACTTTAATTAGCACTCTCAATATAATATGATGATATGACATAGATACATAACAAATCAATCCATTACCCTAACCCCTTAACCTTCAATTTTGAATCCCAACCCAAAATCCCAAATTATAAACCTAAACCCTAACCCTAAATCCCTAAATCCTAATCCTTCAAATTAAAATGAATTTTGAATGAATTTTTTTCAAATTCATGTGCTTCTTGTTCATAATATCATAAGCAACAATTGATACCGTTTTGACATGAATCGCATGGTCAGAATGACAATTATGAGGCAGGTGCACTGAGTGCACCCGAAAAAGTGGGTGCACCGAATACGCCACCATATATATATATATGGGGAGTTCTACGGTACCCAGGGTGAAATCCGGGGTACCGCATACCTTGAGTAAGAAAATGCTATCCAGAACTTGAATTGACTGATGTTTCGGACATGATACTGTACTCTTACCCTTAAAGATCAAAATCTAGGTCTTATTTCTCTAAATCTTATACCCCAAGATCAATTTAATTAGAAACAATAATCGACGGTTATGATTCGTCCAAATATAGATAAAAAAATCAATGCACCATCTTAGGGTTTATAGTTTATGATTTAGAAAATTAGGACCTAGGGTTCACTCTAGGGATGGCAACAAAATCCGAACCCACGGGTACCCACCCGACCCAACCCGGTCAACGCGGGTAAAATCCGTGTTGACGGGTTTTGGGCCGGGTTTGGGTTTAAACCCGTTCACTATTCACCGGGTTGGGTTTGGGTTTAGGTAAACCCGCCCGTGGGTACCCGCCCACCCATATAATTAATTTTTTTGGGTATATTTAATATTCTAAACAACTAATCTTATTTATGTTTGTGGAGACATGTCTAATTTTTTCTTTTTAATTGTGTAGAATGAAGTTAATGTTATGGAGTGGAGAGTAATGAAACTTAATTGAAAGGAAGAAGCTTTCAATTAAATATGTTATTTATGGATAATTTGTGATTTGCTTCAATTTTCTTGAGTTTTCTAGATTGGTGTTGAACAATTTGTATAGTTAATTTGTGATTTGCTTGAATTTTCTAGAATGATGTTTTATATATGGATGATTTGTATTGAGAGATTAATATTTGACTTTAATTTTGATAAGAACTTGTAATTGTAAATTTTTTACGACAAAACCCGTGGGTACCCATGAACTCGCGGATACCCAACGGGTTGGGTTGGGTTTGAGTTTTTCAAACCCAGTGGGTTTTACCCCGGGTTTTTTTCAAAGATAAACCCATGGGTTTGGATTTGGGTTTGGCAAAACCCGACCCAACCCGACCCATTGCCATCCCTAGTTCACTCATTAAGGGTTAGGGTATAGTATCATGCCCAAAAATCCTGCTAATTCGAGGTCTAGATAGTGTTTTCATACTCAAGGTATGTGGTACCTCGGATTTCACCCGGGGTACCGTAGAAGGCACCATATATATATATATATATATATATATATATATATATATATATATATATATATATATATATAGGTGGCTACTTCGGTGCACTCACTTTTTTTGGTGCATTCAGTGCACCCACCTCTAAAAGTGGTCATTATACATCAAATTTTGAAATTTAATGGGTAGCATTAGTCTCATATGATGATATAACACAAAATCACAACTAATCAACCCATTACCCTAACCTATTAACATTCAATTTTGAATCTAAACCCAAAATCCCAAATTGTAAACCCTAACCCTAACCCTAAATTCCTAAACCCTGAATCATTCAAATTAAAGTGAATCTTGAATGATTTTTGTAAAAATTCATGTGGTTCTTGTTCATCATACTACAAGGGATGATTGCCATCGTTTTCACATGAATCGCCTGCTCAGAATGACGATTATGAGGCGGGTGCATTGAATGCACCCAAAAAAGTGAGTGCACCGAATACATAACCATATATATATATATATATATATATATATATATATATATATATATATATATATGGTGGCGTATTCGGTGCACCCACTTTTTCGGGTGCACTCAGTGCACCTGCCTCATAATTGTCATTCTGACCATGCGATTCATGTCAAAACGGTATCAATTGTTGCTTATGATATTATGAACAAGAAGCACATGAATTTGAAAAAAATTCATTCAAAATTCATTTTAATTTGAAGGATTAGGATTTAGGGATTTAGGGTTAGGGTTTAGGTTTACAATTTGGGATTTTGGGTTGGGATTCAAAATTGAAGGTTAAGGGGTTAGGGTAATGGATTGATTTGTTATGTATCTATGTCATATCATCATATTATATTGAGAGTGCTAATTAAAGTTCAAAATTTGATGTATTATGGACGCTTTTAGAGTTGGGTGCACTGAGTGCACCAAAAAAAGTGAGTGCACCGAAGTAGGCACCTATATATATATATATATATCATATGAGTATCTACTTCCACCCTGCCTCGCCCCCGCCCCGTTCTCGACCCATTTTATCTCAATTTCTTACAGTATCTATTCATATTTATCATATTTTGATTTATATTCAACGAGTTAGACTCGACCTTTCAACTAGTTATATGTAATTACCCGTTCTATTATCAATAATTTTCATTTATAAAGTGTTTTCCCTTGGTTTTATTGTAAAAAGCAAAACTTTGCATGCATTTTTTCAAATAACATGTAAGAGTGAGTCGACCCACCCTGATCCGCAGTAACGTGGAACGGAGCATGGGTGTTGAGTTACTCCCCGCTCCATTGCCATCACTAGAACCTTATCATAACATTTCCAAAAAAATTAATAATTTGCCTTCTTGGAACAAACAAAATCCTTTGTTCCCATTTTATTAAATTCCCTGGAAGCCCGAACATATGAAGTCCTTATGTAGTTGAGCAGCTTGACCGATGACAGTGAATACGGATGCCATTTCTGATTTCTACCTCAATTTTCCGGTGTATGTGTTTTCCTTCTCCGTCTCCAACCAAGGAGGTTTACTCTGCAAAGAGGAAAAAGAAAGGCCAGCTTCCTCATTTATCAGCTCTAAAAACCCTCTTCCCATCTGTACTTTATGACGACCTGAAAGAGACAAAAGTGTGGCTTCTTAGCCAAAAGCTTCCACCTTCTTCACAGCGCAGATCTGTAGCTTCCGCCTTCTCTGCCACTTTCGTTTTCCTTACGAACTACTTAAAAACCCCCACCATTTGATTCCAGCTGGTTCCACCCAAAATTTCATTTCTTCAACTCTTCCCCATGGATCTATAGCCCTTTCATTCCCCCACCCCAAAAGAAAAAAATTCCTCTTGTTCGTCTCGAGATAGACACCCTGGTTGCTGCTTCTTTTTCTTTCTTTGGTGGGAGTTAAAAGGTGAAAAGCAAAGATGACCCAGTTGCTGTTCTTGGTTTTGTTTGCGGAAGTGGCCATGGCATTCTTGCTGCTAGTAAAGATCGGGCCTTTGAGGGAGCTGGTGCTCAAGAGTTTGGATCAGGTGAAGATGGGGAAAGGTCCCGCCAGTGTGAAAACAATTGCCGGTACTATGTTTGTGATCCTATTGTCGTACCTCATGAGCATCGTGAAGATCCAAAACAAAGGAGCCAAGCTTGGTACTCTGTCGCCTATGGACCAAGTTCTCTGGAGAAGCCACTTGCTCGAGGCTTCACTCATAGGTAACATCCTCGGATTTCCTTGCTCCTGTTCTGTACTGCTGGTTGTTATTGTTGTTGGAATTTCAGTCATGGATGATTACTCAAGTGTCGTGGCCTAGGTGTGACTGAGGGCGATTGAGGGTCTTTTTGCTAGGACGAGGAAGTTCGTGTTTGTATGTCGCTTTGGCAGTGATCTTTCAGAGTGCGTGCAGCTTGAAACTAAAAGTTGGTAAAATTATGTGGATGTGATTGCCTGATCAGTTTGAAAAGTTGAGTTAAGGAGTTAGAGTTAAAAATGGGATGTAATTCTAGGAACGGGAAATTGGCAATGTTCCCTTCACTCTGCTGATACAGCCATGGACCTTTGTTTTAGAGCAGCCTTGAAGCTCTAGGTAGGTCCCTTAACTTGCGAAGGAGAAGATCTGGATGATGTTTTGCAATGCTGATGATGTGAGGTTCTATGTGCAATAAGGCCTTATGCTGGTGAATGCATTGATGGATTTAGATTCACTTATATGATAGTGTATATTTATTCATACTGATGACAGTATGGAAAATTAAACAAGCCAAATCACAAGAGCAGCCTTCATACCTTGGGTGCTAGGAAATGTGGGAATTGGTATCTCGGGTGAAGAGAAAAAACTGAATGCGCTATTGAGGCCATATGGTAGCTTGAAAGTATTGTTCTTGATGCTTTCGTCTTCCAAGGACTACTGTGTCCCTGTGATACATGGCAGTTAACTTCTCCACGACTGGAATTGGTAGGACTCGGATCATTTACTTTTAGCCTTTAGGCTACATTTTACTGAGCTGGATAGAAAAGCCACTATCGGTTCTTTCTTGAGATGTGCCTTTACATTTATCAGTTCAATTGATGTTCTATCTCATGTTGTCTGGAGTTTTCTTGTTGCTGAGGTGACTGATGCTGCTCCTTTTAGCTCCTGAGAACTGCCAGCGATTCAGTGGAAACAAACTGTGCCGAAAAAAGCTTGTTATTTCCTACATCTCAAATTGTTTCATTTTGATGTGGCAGGTTTTACACTGTTCCTCGGGTTTGTGATTGATCGTATGCACCACTATCTCAAAAAGCTAATCGGTCTCAAAGGCAGCGTTGGATCATCAAAAGATGAGTTCGAAAAGCTTCAAAAAGAGAACGTGCAGCTCAAAGATAAGGAAGAGAAAGCTTCCAAGAAAATTAAGCAGCTTCAGGAAAAAATCTCAGCTCTATCAGAAGACTTGAAGAAGGCGAAGCTCGAAGCAGAAGAAAAGGATAAGAAGATTGAAACAGCTGAAGGCCATGTCACCGCCCTCCAGAAACAATCTGCAGATCTGTTGCTGGAGTACGACCGGTTGCTTGAAGACAACCAAAACCTTCAGGCTCAAGCTCAAGGATACAAGAGTTGAGAAGGAGTGGAGATGAGAAATGGTCACCGGTTTTTGTCTCAGTGGAACTTTCAAAACAGTGCTGGATGTGCTTCATTTGCTGGAAATGGTGTCACGAGTTATGGCAAGGGTGTAGAGGTGGAGGGAGGCAGCATGCTTCGTTTTGTAGAATAGGGGACTGATTTGTAATACCGAACAGATCTAGAAGATTTGAAGTTGTTGAATATATAGACTCTGGCTCATTGATCCGTTCTGGTTTCCTTCCAATCATAAAATTTTCCACAAGAGATAGGCCATTGATAATTGTACTTGGAAACAAGCCAGCGGCGAAGAGAATTGTCATTTGTCAAATCGTCGTCATTTCTTGTACATCGGGTCTCAAATTTTCTGCAGCAGGCTAAATATGCTTGCCAAATTAACAGCTGTGTAGTACGAAGTAGCTTTGAAAAGTCAAATTTTGGTGCTGTTTTACTACACGTACAATGCAGATACAAACGGGCATATATCTATCTATCTGAGCTCTTTCCCGACATCTGAAAACTGAAAGATCAGGTCACTTACAAGCATAAGCATTATCTGCCGCTCGCATGTTAGCTTCATGAAATGAAAGCGTGCAATCCACATTTCTGTGTGCTTCTGCACAGACCTAAAGCATATAAAAGGAAGCAATTCAGGCTCCATGAAAGACCCGCCACTTTCACTTTGGTGCCGGAAAGCCTCTCCATTTCTGCCGTCTAGATTCTCATGGTAATACCTCGCACTGCATATTTCTGCCCTTGGTTTCTGCAAAACTTATGATATTGAGAATCCAGAACAAGAAAACTTCAGCGAAGTAATGCCACGAAAGACAGCACGTGGTTTTGGCAAAAGCTAGGAGTGAAAACTGGGTCAGATATCTCAGTCGTTGCAGCGGCATTTTGGAATAGGATGAATAAGCCATTGCAGTGTAGGTGAATGATTGGTACTGTATCAGTCCAACTGGAAGAAACAAAGCTGCTCAGGACATGTACCAGAAGATTAGGCAGTCAAATCATACAACCAGCCTTTTCTGCAGGTACTCTAGTCCCCTACAAGATCATTCAGTAAACATACGCTGTCTTGATTTGCACTGATGGATGTCATCTCATGTACCAAATTATCCAATGTTTGTAAGATATCCTCGTACTGATGGTGGTTCCTGTCTTCCATTAGAAAAGCTTGGTGTTTTCCATTCACTTCCACTGAACTAAAACCAGGCACTTTCCTCACTCCCGCCCTTTTCATGGTCCTCCTTGAAACAGAGACTTCATCCCACTTCTTGGCCATGGAAAAGAAGTTAGAAACCAACGAATAAGTTCCAGAGTCATTTGCGTTCGACTCAAGTATCTTCTTTGCTGCCACCTCTCCTATCATTACGTTCCTGCAGTTATGACAGCCTGACAATAGGGAAACCCAAACAGCAAGTCCTGGTTCAGAGTCCATGGACTCAATGAGCTGACATGCTTCTTCCACTCGCCCTGCCCTGGATAAAAGATCGACCATGCATGCAAAGTGCTTCTCACTAGCTTGAATCTTAAATTCGTTGACCATTTTATGAAACCAACATTTCCCTGCTTCCACTAATCCTGAGTGACTCAGAGCTGAAAGAAGTGAAGCAAAAGTTGTATGATCTGGTTTCACGTCTTCTGTTACTGTCATCGCTAGAAAGAGTGAGAGGGCTTCCTCTCCATGGCCATGGATCCCATAGCTGGAAATCATGGCATTCCACATGATTAGATCTCTTGAATCTACTCGGTCAAACAAAATTCGAGCACAAGCAAGTGATCCACATTTGGCATACATGTCTACCAAAGCAGTCGCTAAAATCTGCTCGAAGTTGAGCTTTCTAAGGATATATCCGTGTACTGACTTCCCTAGTTTCAATTGCCCTACTTGTGAACATGCCAAAACTGCACTGATGAGAGAAACTGAATCTGGCTTCACCCCAGAACTCTGCATCTCAATCAACAATTCAAGTGCAGTTCCTGCAATACCATTTTGCGCATAGCCGGATATCAGCGCACCCCAGGAAACAGCATTTTTAAAACGAATCTCTCTGAAAACACGAGAAGCAAGCTCCAATTTTCCGCATTTAGCATACATATCCACAAGGCTAGTCCTAACAACTACATCATTCATATGTATCTCTCTCCTAACCATGTATCCGTGAACTGAAAGACCCACCGTAATTTCTCCAAGTTCAGAGCAAGCCTGGATTAAGCCCACCATTATAACCCCATCTCCTTCAATCCCCTCCTTCTGCATTCTCCTGTACATGTCCACTGCTTCTAACGGCTGTCCACTGCGCAGGATCCCAGTTACCATAGTGGTCCAGCTCACAACATCTCTCCTCGCCATCTTATCAAACACCGCCTTCGCTTCATCCAATCTCCCGCACTTGGCCAACAAATTTAGAACAGACGACGCAACAAACACATCACCCTGGTATCCAAAATCCACAGCTTGACGCCAAATTTCCTTTCCCACGTGTAAGTCCGGCAAGGTCGAGCAAGCTTTGAGTGCCACAGTAAAAGTAGAGCTATCAGGCCTAACTCCCTCGGCTATCATTCTATGGTAAAGACCCAGAACTTGACTTGGGGAACGTTCATGAGAGTACGCAACGATGATCGAGTTCCATGCATCAACGCCTCTCTGAGGCGTTTTGTCGAACACTTGGCGTGCGGTTTCTATGCCGCCGGCGCGGGCATACGAAGCGATTAAGCGACTGACGGTGCTGCCATTGGGGTAGAGACCGACAGTGATCAGCAAGGCGTGGATTTGGGTTATGGAGGTTGTATCCTTGCAGGTTAAGAGTAGAGGCTTTAAGCGAATCAGCCAGGGAATAGAGCGCATTTACGCTAACTGAAGGCAGATTAGACAATGTACAGACTTGGCGATCATCTATGACGTGTTGGTTACGAGGACTATCGAACGGGTCCATCGTGTTTTGTTTCTTTGGTTTGACTAACTTATGATCCGACCGATGACCGCGGGGTGGTAATCGGTCGGTAACCGGTTAAACCGATTACCATTTGATTGGGTACAGGTATACCGACCCTCCTATTGCATGCGCCGTTTACCGCTACCGAATATACTTCAGTATACCGGTCACCGATTGGGACGGTTTCGGCATTTGCACCGGTTTCCCGTTTAACCGAAAAGTGACAATTGCGCCTACTATACTGTCTTCCTTTCGATTCTTGTTTGGGGAATTGGATCCAAACTTCAATGTCCAACTGTTGCTCTTTGAGACTCTGATAAGTGATAACTGATACGAAAATGCCAAACAAAAACACAAAGGACCACCAAACTATAAATAAAGTAAGTAACCAAAGAATCATATGGTTCTGCTTCCACGTGGCTATGTATCCATCTCTATCTCTGATAAGAAAATGCCAAACGGTGAATTATGAAAGAATGGGAATATGAAAATTGAAATGATTATGAAAGAATCAAACTCGGCTATACAAGTTTGTAAGTTACCTGCCTCAAATCAAATCGACGGTGAGACACTGAGACTTAGGACGAACTGGAACTGCTGTCTGCTGGGCTGTGGGGTCGTGGGAATTAGCTCCGACGGGGTTCGACGGGAACAGGTCAACGACGAAGGGCTTGACGGAAACAGAGCTTTGCAGAGAGGATGAGGCACCTTGCTAGGTCGCGTCTCTTGGATGGAGTTTGCGCCGGCGACGGGCAGACGACGAAGATACCGCCGGTTTCGTCGAGCTCATGCAGCAGGCAGGGGAGATACTCGCCGGTTTCTACGTACTAATTAAATTATCACTAGGACTAGGTTAAGTTAATTACTTAGGTGCTACTAGCGAGGGCGGCCCATGGCCGAAGTTGTTGATGTTTGATGGCTTCAGGCCTTTTCCCAATCGGTATCGGAATACTTGTATGCTAACGGTGTTTTACCGTCCCTATCTCGGTACACCGCCATCCAAATTCCCATCTACGAATACCGTTTGAAACGGTTAATGGTTTAACCGGTAACTGCGGTTACCGGTACGGTTATCGGTTAAACCATTAACCGGAATACCATTAACCACCCCTACCGATGGGCGAGTTAGCATTAGCCATGATGTAGGTTGATATTTGGATATTTCAGGCTGTTGGTTCGGTTAGGCTGGGTTAACCGAACCAATCTGAAATCGATGATGTGGGTTTTCATTTTCGACATTCTTATCGGTTTCGTCTCAGTTAGAATGAACCAAACTTGGGTAGTTGGAACCGATAAGAAGTGTACTTTTCCCACCGAAAACCCAAACTTTGGTAGTTGAAAACCAGAAAAGTGGACACTTTGTTGTACTATATTTCAAAATACCTAAAACGCATTTCCATTTATCTCCCACAAGGCTGAAAAATCCAAGAGCAAAGATAACACCTTTGGAAATTATCACGCTTCCATCTTTGAGGAGGCAGCGATTGAGTTCACACTTTCAAGTGGCATTCGTCAATGAGCTCTTCTCCCACCTTTCCTTTCATTCTATATTGGTTTCCTTTACTTTTTTGGTGGATGAAGCGGTGGCTTATAGTCACATTAAGAGTATTATTAAGCTTAACTCGAGATGTCATATTCTCACCTACTGTCTCTTTTCATATGAAACAATGATTTTAGGGAAGGTTAGTTAAAGAGGCAACAAAGATTCTTTATAGCATGAATTACTATGGAGCGATCACTCGACGAGAGGTGAATAACCAATTCATAAATATTCTTTATCGACAATGCCAACAGGAAGAAAAGAATATTGTCATTAATATGGTAGAATTTGTTACTACAATTTCACTTTAAGTATTTGGGAGTCCCTACTAAGCGAGCAAGTTCAGAGAAGAAAACATTATCATTTCTCACCCAAGAATGGAGATACAGAGAGAAGCCTAGACGAGCCTTCTACTATCACTAGGAGGGGGAACTGAGGTACTTCTCAAGGTAGTCACTTAGGTCATCCCAACTATCATTACGTGCTTGTCTTTGCTTCTCGACTTTCTCACCAAGAAGATGGACTTTCCTACAAAGATTCTCTTGTTCTTGTGAAAAAAACAAGGAATTCACTAGTGCAATGGAAATATCCTATTCTCGCTAAAATAAGATGGAGGAATTGGTTTTCAAAACTTCAATGACTTGACTTTCACTTTTAACAAAGCAAGCATTTATGCACTCTTCCCCTGACATACTATAGGCTCTATACATGAATACAATTGTAGTGGTGGTAAATGGAGAATACATTAGAGTGCATCATGGCCCTTGGATCGCACAATTTCTGAAGCTCGACTACAACCAAAAGCTGCATGAATAAAATTGTAGTGGTGATAACTGGAGAATCCATTAGAGTGCATCATGGTCCTTGGATCCCACAAATTCTGAGGCTCGACTACAACCAAAATTTGTTGAATTTTGGGCTTGGAAATTCAATACTTCGAGGGAATTCAAAGTTCGATCCGTATACCATGCTTACCATAATAGATCAACTAACTTGCTTGATGGTGGAAGTAGCGTCCCGCCCATGAAAAAAGAAAGATGAAAATAGATATGGAGCTCATCATTGTCTCCAAAACTAGATTTCTTTGTGTGAAGATGCGCTAAAGGGATCCTAGCAACCAAGAAGAAGCTTCATAGTAAGAGATTCTCATCAAACTCGACCTGAGCTATTTGCAAAATCAGAGGAGACTACCATCACTGTGTATTCTTGTGTACACACGCTCTCAAGGCATGGCTAGACTCCTCTTTTGGATACAAATGTTTTAGATTGATCCCTTATTGTGATAGAGGCTCTAGCACCCACATCGTTCTTTAGTTCATATTCCTCCAAAGGTGCATATTGAAAGGCAGAAATGAGAAGCCTTTCAAAACTACACTCCTTGGCCCTCTAACAGTCACATGAATGCCTTGAGAGAGTTATTAGAGCGTACGACTTTCCCAAAAGTGAACCACCACCATCGGTAGACTATCGTTCGGTCCACGGCGGCTCGTTTGCAACCGTGCCCTGATGCCATTGTAGTATATCACAAAGTAATAGCCTAGATTTTGTCTAGGGTCATATTCAACTGGTCTTTTGATAGAAACTACTTTGAAACTAACAACTTGTTCTTGAATAGCAATGCAATAAAAAGTAAACACGATGGGTTGAGGTTCCCTATAGATGGATGAAATTCTACTCTAAGAAAAGCAAGGTACGAGATGATTAAAGCAAGCAAGTAAACAAGATAGATATATAAGATAAACAATTGTTTAGGTAGTTTCATCTAGATTTTCATGTATTCAATCTCTTAATAACATGCATCGATGCATCTTCTATAATGATACTCTATCCTTTTTGTTTAAATGCTTAATCATGCTTTCGCTTCATGCAAAAAGAACTACAACTACTTAATGCATGCTTTTGCTTCTTGCCATTAACTAATCAATCACACAAGGAAGCAAGAATAGCACATTGTCATCTAAGGCCTCTATAAGCTCATAACAATGGTTTATGGCATTGATCATCTAGTATATCAAACATCAATCTCATACCAGCATGCATAATTGTGTCACCAACTAAACTTACACACATAGGATAAACGCATACCATATAAGAGCAGTTTTCAAGCAACCTATATAATGATATTAGAAGCAACAACATAACATCACTCAATAGATGATACAAAGCATCGATAAACTAAGACATCTTATTAGATCATAGAAAGAAAAGATACATGAATGTCATAGAATCCACATCCCTAAACAATAAAAGACTTAGTTAGCCATTAAAGAGATGAAACCACCATTGATGATGAAAGAATCTCCATTGAACTCGACGATGAAGTCATCTCCGACAAGGCTTTGCCCCAATCCCTACGATAAGATTTTTAAGGTGTGTCTAACCTCAAGCCTAAGCCTCTATTTATACTAGTAGTTGGAGGAAGAAAACTGTCTACAAATAAGTTTTTTTTGCCAAAACCTGTACTTTCAAAACTCAAATTTGCTTCAAAATCAGTGGGAAGCCTCTAGATTGTTCCAGAAGCCACCCAGTCATATTTGGACTCGTGTTAAGCACGATATCACCGACTTTGAACTTCGAATTGATCCTTTTTTTTTAATTCAAATGATATTAATCTTGGTGGACTTACTTCTCTTGGACTATTTGGGTTGCTCGTCAAATATCAGATCAATCGTATTTTTTTTGATCCGCTTTGACCATGGTCAAAGGTAAGCCTGCTACATAGGGATGTCAACAAAACCCGAAATCACAGGTACCCACCCGACCCAACCTGGTCAATGCGGGTAAAATCCGTGTTGACATGTTTTGGGCGGGGTCGGGTTTAAACCCATTCACTATTCACCGGGTTGGGTTGGGTTTGAGTTTAGGTAAACCCGCCCCATGGGTACCCGCCCACACCCATATAATTAATTTTCTCAGTATATTTAATATTCTAAACAACTAATCTTATTTATGTTTGTGGAGACATGTCTAATGTTTTTTCTTCTAATTGTGTAGAATGAAGTTGATGTTATCGAATGGAGAGTGAAGAAACTTAATTGACAAGGAGGAAGAAGCTTTCAATTAATTATGGGTTAAATACACTTGTATATCCAAAACTTTCACGGTTGTGCCAATAATATCCAAATTTCCCGAAATACCACTTATATCCAATTCCTTCACATTCTTTAAAGATGTTTTTGGATATACAAGTGTATTTAACCAAAAATATATTGGGAAATGGATAGATTTGGCAAAGAACAACTTTAAAACATGGATATAAGTGGTATTTCGGGAAATTTGGATATGAAAGTTTTGGATATACAAGTGTATTAAACCTTAATTATGTTATTTATGGATAATTTGTGATTTGCTTCAATTTTCTTGAGTTTTCTAGATTGGTGTTGAACAATATGTATAGTTAATTTGTGATTTGTTTGAATTTTCTAGAATGGCGTTTTATATATGGATAATTTGTATTGAGAGATTAATATTTGACTTTAATTTTTATAGGAACTTGTTATTGTAAATTTTTTACGATAAAAACCCGTGGGTACCCAGTGGGGTTTACCCCGAATTTTTTTCACCGATAAACCCATGGTTTTGGGTTTGGCAAAACTAGACCCAACCCAACCCATTGTCATCCCTACTGCTACACTACTACTTCTTTGGGCCATAAACTGCTCATCTGGTGTCCAAATCCACATTCATTTGAGCCCATGTGCTTGTACTCTCGTCATCTTTCTAGTCCATTGGTGATCAATATTGATTTTGAGTATATAATATCCTTAAAATGCACAAAATAACACCAAAATGTGTAAATAGTACAAAACACACTCAATGTCCAAATTAGGCATGTTGATTAGATCGTTATGAAATTCATATAGAATATATCAAAATTTACAAAGATGCATCGATAGTAGGAGAAATGTATCAAATATAGGGAGTGTAATTTGAGCGTTATCATGCCCACCAGCGAATAGTCCCATGTTGGAGATACACTTTGAACTTTAACCTTTAACTGTGACCTACCATCCATCGTACGGGTGGTATAAGCATATTCATCGCCCAAATTCACCCAAATCAACCAATCCGCAACTTACTAACAAGTTGGTAAAGTTTTGACGCACTATCTACCTACATTCTTTTTTGGTTTAAGATAGGTGGGTAGCGGATGGATGCAGTTAGCTTGTGAGTTAACCTGCAAAAGCAATTCTCCAACTACACAAATTATGAATATTATAATAATAGAAAGTAGGTCTCGCTTTGGCTTCCATGGATAACATGTACTTGTGTCGTGCAAAGTTTTCAATTACTCATACAAACTTTTCAATTGGTCACTTTTAATGTAATATTCATTGACAGAGAAAACAAAGTCATTAACCACATATTCATAGAGACCACAATTCCTCCCACATGTGGATTTCACTTCTTTGACAACGGTTATCAATTATTTCATTAAACCGTCAACCAAATGTAGAGAAAAAAACGCTTATTGTGACTTTGATACAATTAATTGTTCGTAATTTGCATCTCAATATCTTATGGACATTACATTAGAGCCTAGTTTGTGAAACCGTGCCAGAATTCATGCCAAACTCGTATGTGGTAGGATATTTTATGACACGATTGTGGTTTCAACGTTTCTTACCGGTAAAATACCATTTTTAGGATAAAAGATATTTTTTTGGGAAGAAAATCTTACCGAAAAAATCAGGGTTCCGTTTTTGAGTAATACCGGAATACATCAGAAGTCCAAAACGAGGCACGTGAGGAGTGCACTGGTGGCTCTATCTGTAAACAACAACGACCTTTGTCAACAACAAAGTCCAAACCTTGCCTAGCTGAGAAAGAAATAGATGAATGGGCGATGACAACTCGTTATGATCGACGACGACAACATGTTGTGGTTGACGAGGAATAGACTCTATCTCGGTCGACTGGGAGAAGAGAGAGCAGAGTGCATGAGTAGGGTGGCATGCAGAGGTCAGTTCGTCAAAGGTCTGGGTTAGGCGGGAGAGAGCTCGCCATAGGGTCTGGTCTGATGAGAGAGAGGTCGAGGACCTCCACGAGGAAAGACAACCTCGATTTCTGGTTTTCCCGTACAACCGGCCGATTCGATCCGATATCTTAATCCACGCATTAGACACATAGTAACCAATAGTAGTAGTCCAAAAATCTTTGTTTTCCGATTTTAGAAATCGATGATTAGTGTTTGGGACAATAGAAAATATGATGATTTTTGATAATATGAAGAAAGAAAGAAAAATAACTTGTTTTCACAAGAAAAAGTGAAAACAACCTTTTGTCATTAAAAGTAGGTTGCAGGTCGTTCGAGTGACTTGCAAACCGCTCATCACCCACTAAAATAAGTTCATGTAGAAAATTTACTGATCTACGACCACCTACATTGTTCACTCACTACAACAATTCGAGTTATTTACGGATGAATTGCTATTAAACCGGGTCAACCACCCATTTTCCCACAGGCCACAACGCCACAACACAAGTAGGGCTGTTAATGAACCAAGCCGCTCATGAACGGCTCGCTGTGCGACTCGAGAAAACTCGTTCGACACTCGATTCATTTTAATCGAGTCGGCTCGCGAACAAGCTCGTTAACTAAACGAGCCAAAACTCGAGCCATACCATGTTCAGCTCGAAAGCTCGCGAACAAGCTCATTTAATGGTTTGGCATAAAAAAGAATTATAAATCATGGATTTTATGTATTGAAATAGGATAAATTTTGTGTTTTACTTTGCTACAGGTTTAAATGTAATTTTGTGCGCAGTTCTAGGTCAATCTTGAGCTATCATGAACATTTTATGAGCTGAACTTGATTTTTGGCTCGTTAAGCATATATGACGAGCCGAGCTCGAGCTTGCATATTAAAGCTCGTGACGAACACGAGCCGAGTTCGAGCCTGGAAATATATTAACGAGTCGAGCCCAAACTATGACAAAACTCGGCTCGACTCGGCTCATTAACAGCCCTTACACAAGCCCACAACTAGTCAACTACTATGCCCCTTTCTGAGCAGAATCCGACCCTGACTGACTAGGGCTGGGAAACAGTGCGGTCTGGTCCAGACCAGACCATATATATGGTCTATGGTCCAGACCGAGAGACTAAATTATAGACCACATACCAGACCACAGACTATACGGTCCGGTCCAGACCACGCCTGTGCGGTCTGGTTCGGTCTGGTCTGGTCCAGATAGACCACACTCAACGAAAAATGAATAATTTGTTTAGTCAACCACACAAAAAATTGAACCGATAACCAAGAAAAATAATTGTTATTTGCCTTAAAACATTAATCCTAACATGCATGAATAATTTTGATACTCTAAATCTTAGTACATAACAAAGATACGAAGTAAAAACATCACAACTTGCACCATAACGTCATAAACATTAACATAATGTCATATGGAGACACTATTATCTCTACTCTCTGGTTAAATGTGGTTGTGAACGAAGGAGGGAAGAGATTCACAAAATTAAGGTTGAGACTTGGGTGTCGTTGTGGGAGTTTGAAGAGTGGTCGAATGGGCTATTAACACGTATTGACAAGTCAGTTGGGTCCACGGTTTGGTCCGGTAAACCGCGGTCTACACCAGACCAGACCAAGTGATCAAATCATAAAATAATACAGACCATGGACCAGACCAGATCATACTTCACGGTCTACAGTACGGTTTGGACCACAATTTTTCTAACGGTCTGGTCTATTTTCCAGCTCTATGATTGACTCGCATAGGAACCCGAGTTTGCGGGAACCGGACGGGTTATCCACGCTCACGTACCAATAACCCATTAATCACCCATCCCCTTCGCAAGGAGAGAAGCTCAACGCGACATCCACCAAAAAGGAAAAAGAAAAAGGATTTTGTTCTTGGAGGGGACGGGAGTGCTCCAATTTCAAAACCAAATTCATTTTTCGTTGCCTCTACCGCCTTCTTTTTCATACTCGTGGAGGAAAATTTGGCGGATTCCCGATTCCGCTCCAACTCCGGTCTTGCAGTTGCTGTTCCCTCTCCTACTAGCTGTTCGCGGTTAGGGTTAGGGTTTAAGTGTTCCGTCACGATGTATGCTGATCGAGTGGAAGCTTCGGAGAAGATGTCTGTGAAGGAGCGTCTCAATGGCAATTCCGTCGGTGACTCTTTCCGCCGGAGACAAGTAACTGGCAAAAGGTGTGTGGCTTCTCTACTTTTCTCTATGTATGAGTATGACCCTCGTCACGTCTTTTTCTTCAGCTAGGCGCCTGATAGTTGAGAGAGCTTTACTTCCTCTTACGCGAAGTCTGAAGAAAATGCTCGTCTGTTTCCTTAATTTGTTGCTACTCTTTTTCCATGAGTCCTTTTGCTGCCAAATTCTGTATTAAACTGTTTACCTGCGAAAGTGGCTTCTAGTGAGTGCCATATTTAGGATTATGTTTGCTTGAGTTTCCTTGTTTTCCTGTTATATGGTGAATATGCTTCGGTTGATTGCCATTAGGCTTTAAGCATTCAGTGAGCATGACCAGTGGTATGTCATTGTCCATCTCCGTTTGCTGATGCCCATGCTGCAAACTGGAACTCTGGATTTAAATCTGTTTGGATGAGGAAACATGCGTGCTAGCTTTGATTTAGACTAGCTTTTGATATAGAATGCTTGTAACGCCACAGTTACACCTAACATGAATTTATGTTTGGAAAAACAAACGTGCTTGTTATTTTTGGCATCTATTATGCGATGATTCATCTGGGTTAACTGCTATAGTGATTAGGTTAAAGAGGCAGGTGACTGCACCCCCAAGGAGGGAGAGGGCATAGGAATCTCTTCTAGTCTCTAGTCTAGCATCCGGTATGATATTTCTGAGATTCATATCCTTAACCTCCGAGAGAGCCACTAATTCTATTATATTCGTTCTTCAATTAGTCAAACCCTTACACTGAACTTCCTCGGAGGCTTAAAATCACTAAGAATATCTAATTCAATGCTCATCAGGAACATGGATTGCATTTGCTTTCTGCATTGTCCGCGAGTCGGATATTTGCATGGATGGTCTGACTTGCAGGAGTATGATTTGCTTTTGTTTGATTCCCTTGGTCCATCACTATCTTCCTTTTAGTTTGGACAAACCTTCTTGCCTAATTGCTTCTTGTTGCTTATCTGGCCCAATATGTGAAGGCTAATTGAATTTACTGAACTTAGGCCATGATTCATGCAGGCAAAGACAAGATGACAAGTGGGAACATGACCTCTTTAATAATGATGAACCACACACTTCAAGTATGTCACTGTGACTCTACCTATACAATTAAAGCATAACTTCTGCCACAGATTTAATAACATATCTAGTTTTCTTACTCTTCTAATGATTTGTGAAGATCGCCGAGTTGATGCCCGAGATCTTCGAGTAAAGCTCCAAAAGAAAAGCCAAGCACCTCAAACTGGAAGACAAGGCATTCGTGATTTGAGGGAGAAGCTGTCTGGGACAATGAATCCACAACCGATGAATTCTGATCCACCAAAATCAAAACAAGCCAGGAGAAGTGTTGCTGCTGATGCTCATGAACCCGAGATTAAGAAAGTTTCCAGTGTCGCTACCAAAAAGAAGTCTCAGCAAAAGGCATCTCTTACTTCTGTCTAATGTTTTCCTCATTCTTCGATGTCTCAGCATAGACCCTCTGGGTCTTCAAAGTTCTCTAATAAAGCCAAACTGTAGTGTTAGAATTTCTTTGTGGTTATGACATTTAAGGAAAACTAACTTCCAAAGGCTCCTCATAACCATAAGTTCATAACTACTTGGCTCACACCACAAACATTAATCAGTGCAGATTCTTATTATTGCAGAAAGATACATCAGTGGACAGCTTTTTGGAGTCATTGGGTCTTGAAAAATACCAAATCACTTTTCAGGCTGAGGAAGTATGGCTACATTGTGCTTCCTTTGTTTGTTTAATCCATTAATACCCGCCTCTATGCTTCTTTTTCTCATTAGCATGCTTGATCATCTACAGGTTGACATGGCCGCTCTTGTACACATGAATGACGATGATCTTAAGGCTTTGGGCATTCCAATGGTATGCACAAGCTAGACTCTTTCTCTTCAACATACATTTGAATTCTGCATGGATGTTTTTACTATTTGATAATATTCTCCAGTTTTTCTGGGATCAAGAATAAACAGACCTTGCTTTCCTATTATAAGTTGTCAGGTAAGCATAAATTACAACTAGCCCTTCCAGGAGTTAGAAGTGGGTAGTTTTAACTCCAAATCAAGATGTCTAGTATTGAAAGAAAGCCTAGAGGGATGATACTCATGATTATAGAACTGTATTTGGAAGTTGTAACAACAGTTTTTGTTTCAAGTCTCAAAGGTCTCCATTTTGTTCTCAGGCTTCTTGTTTGTGCTCGACCAAACTTAATTTTCCTCATTATCATTTGTTGGGATCGATCAGTTGCACTAACAAGCCATTCCATGCAGAAGAAGAGTCCATTTCCTGGTTAACTGGTTGTTTGTCTCTGTAAATGACAGAGTACTCTTGAGGAGGCAGGAGGTTTTGAGAAAGCTGATGCCTCTTTGGTTTACTTTGATGTTGTTTTCAGGGTCCAAGAAAGAAAATACTCTTGGCATTGGAATCAAGAGGCTGAGGCATCTTCAGGAGTGGGAATGTGTATCTGCATGCTTTATATATGGGGGGTTCTTTTGACACCCAACAAACAAACACATGGTAAAAGCTGTGTGTTTTGGTTTTCTACCTCAGATTGTGTAACCTTTTGTATGAATTTGTTAGTGGAAAATGGCTTCAACGGAGGGGCGTAGGGGTAAAAGTTGTATGGGATTCAAAAGCTGGGCGACTGAGGGTAGAAACTACAAAGCTTTGTTCTTTGTTGGTGTGGTTTTCTTACTCTAGTAGGTCACAGATTATTTAAATTAGTGAAATTTATCTCATATCTTATGCTTTATCCATGTTTCTCTGCACCACAATCACAAGGCGCCGCTGGTTAGGGGTGGGCATACGGTTCGGTAAAATCGAACCTAATCGAATCGAATATAAACCGAAACCGAATTAATGTTATTCGGTTCAGAATTCGGAAGAGAAAAGGGCATGTTTGGAAATCAGGGTCCTTTCGACCGAACCGAATTTTCGAATTCCGAACCGAAAAACCGAATTATTCTAATGGCAAGCTTTAAATGGTGGATTTTTATGTTTCTACTTATTATGAGACTTAAATATTTGAATCATGTTAGTGTTTTTATGACTTATGTGTTGAAATGTTTGATTTTATCATTGATGATGCATATTTATTGTTCACATTATGGGTGAAAAATAATTTAAAAAAGAGAAGATACAAGCTTACCTCACTATTTCGGTTTTGTATGAAAAACGAACCGAACCGAATTATAATTCGGTTTGAACCGACCGAACCGAATTATAATTCGGTTCGAATTTGGTTTGAGGTTTGCTAGAATTTGGAGACCCGGTATGCATAATTTCGGTTCGGTTTGAACCGAACCGACCGAATGCCCACCCCTATCCCTGGTTAAGTACTGTGGCCTGGCTCCCTCCCCACAGTAATCTCATAAGTATTTTATGAAAGCATTCGAACAGGTCATTTATAGGCCATGAAACCCATGAGAAACATGCACTTGGCTAGAGTGAAGAACCATTCCAAGTTGCGGCAGCTGCCTTTTCCATAGATGGATAGGGATTTAGTGATTTGGTTTTTGATTTGTTAGGATTTGCTTTGTGAGTATCTTGAGGAGTGTATTGAGAGTATCTGAAAATACTCTCTCATCTGTGTAAGTTAGGAGGTTCTCCCTATTTAAAGGGATGCCATTGAATAAGAGAGGACAATTGATAGAAACCCAAATCTCGCGTTCTATCCGCCTTTGGAGATGAGAAGGGAAAAGGGAGTTATATCACGTATGTAGCCTCCACCCTTTGGTTGAGAAGAGGAAGAAGGATAGAAGTTTGGGAAATGGTGATTGGTGAGGGAAGAAGAAGAAGCTGCGCAGTAGCAGTAGGAAGAGAGGAAGGGTTCGGCAGGTAGAGGGAGAGGAAAAGAAAATTAGGGAGTCTCAATTATGTTTAATCATGTTTAGTGGCTTAATCCCACCTACAAAAATATTTATATAAAATGGATGGTTGTCTAATGCTACCCCAACTTATTAAATCCCCCAATTAACCCTCAATAATCCCGAAATAGTCATAAGAAACATAATCCAACAATTCAATCAAAACGTATCCAAATAGTGAAAATACAGGTTTCTATCATCCTCGCCTCCTTGGAAACAACCTTGTCCCCAAGATTGACTGCAGCTCACATGTTCTCGTCCTTCACGTTCCTGGCGTCAGCCGCGTCGTCCTCTGCCTCATCTTCCCAGCGACCCACGAGCATCATCAGATCTGGCCTGGCGCACTAGTGACCCACCGTGAATCGCCCGTCGCAGTCGAAACACTTGCCCTCCCTCCTCTTCTACTCTATCTCGGCTGGTGATAGTCTGACGAAGACCTTGGGAAGTGCTCTAGGCCCTGGTCTCGCTGTCCCATTGCTTGCCGCCACTGCTCCGCCTCCCGAGCTCCCTGCTGCCGATGAGCTTCCTCCACCCTGACCCGCAGTACTGCTACTTCCTCCTCTGCTCAGCTTCTGATAGCGGCCTATGGTACCTCTCCAACTTGTGAGCTCCTCCTCCCTGTAACCTGCATGACGGAAAGCAGTTCTCAAGGAGTCGGGTTCGAAGACCCGGACTGCAGTAGCGATCTCCAGTTTCAAGTCGGTCATACATAGCCCCACCAGCGTCTCCTCGGGAACTCCCTTGCACTGTTGCCCAACTTGAGGAACTCCGTTCTGTACTCCGCCACCGACCTGGTTTGCCTCAACTTGGCCAAATGCTCCGGCGCCAACCCTTCCGATTTCCCGTACTGGTACCTCAGCTTCTCTTGAAACCTTGGCCAACTAATCAGCATTCCGTTGGCAGCATAAGACCTCTCTAACCACTCCACCAATGTAGAGCATCTCCCTCCAGATAGAAGGACGCAAGGTGCGCTTTCCTCTCCTCCTTCGTGGGATGATTTTGGAACCACCTATCCGCGGAATACAACCACAAGCCTGTTGCATTTTGTTGCATCTCGATCGCGATCCGCGTCAACACGTCCATATCCTTCCGCGAGTCCTCCATGTCCGAGTCGATCTTCAGCTGCACCGCCATGAGTTTTTGCATTGTCGCCTTGAGTTTTTCCTTGTCGTTCATGTCAATGACAGTGATACGGTCAAGAGATTCCTCCCCTTTCTGCATTGAAGCCTTCGTTGCGCCCTCCTTGGCGGTGCCCTGGCCGATGGCCTTCTTGGCAGCAGCTTCGGCTTCTGCGCTACTACGTTGGCGCACAACTTCTCCATTGCGGCCTTCTCGGCCGCTTTCTCCGTAGTCATTTGTGATTTCGTTACCGCCATTGTCTTCCAGGTCAACCTGCTCTGATACTAGATGATAGAAACCCAAATATCGGGTTCTATCCGCTTTTGTAGATGAGAAGGGAAAAGGGTGTTATATCACGTATGTAGCCACCACCCTTTGGTAGAGAAGAGGAAGAAGGATAGAAGTTTGGGAAATGGTGAGGGGAAGAAGAAGAAGCTGCGCATCAGCAATAGGAAGACGGGAAGGGTTCGACATGTAGAGGGAGAGGAAAAGGGAATTAGGGAGTCTCAATTAGGTTTAATCATGCTTAGTGCCTTAATCCCACTTACAATAATATTTATATGAAATGGATAGTTCTCTAATGCTACCCCAACTTATTCAATCCCCCAATTAACCCTCAATAATACCAAAATAGTCATAAGAAACATAATCCGGCAATTCAATAAAAAAATATCCAAATAGTGAAAATTCATGTTTTTATCAACAACAAAGAATCATTAAGAACGAGGTTCCTAAACTGGCTTGTTCTCGCCAAAAAGAAGAATACTATGACTCTTCTGATTCAAAGGTTCCAATACTTAGTATTAGAGCCGACCATGACAACCACCCGTGAAGTTCCAGCTTAGGAGCATGTTGATGTGTTGGAGACAAATCTTCAGAGCTTGCAAGAGATAGTCCAGCGTGGCCTTCCTGGCGATATTTGCTGACTAGTTGGGAATATTGACATGGTTGCTCGTCCTCAAAATTTGGAGAATGGCCAAGTTGAAATTAGTCAAATGTTGCAACGTCGACCGGAGGCAACTGAAGGAGACCAATCGACCGCAAGTTTCAGACATCAATTTTGGAGATCTGATCATCACGACACTCACAATGGCTATAGCAGGGGTGATGAGCTGGTATCCCCATGTTGATGGGTCGCTTCACCAAGTTAGAGTTTCCAGGGTATTCTGGGGCGGATCCAACTAAGTCTACCCAATCCCAAGGGTTGGGAGTAAGTGCAGGCCCTTTCTACATCTATGTGTATTAATCTGACCACAAATCAAATAATTTCCATTCCTCTCATCCATCGTAACAATCTGGAATCAATGCAGTCCCACTGATTACTAGTCCATACATATTTCTCGTCAGTTATCAACTCGACGTTTCACAAAATCAACCATCTAATCATCCAATATCAAATCACATAAATCATCTCATCAAACAGTAACAATACTCATCGGTTCCATATCATAATTCTCATCCAAACTTCATCACATACTTTCATGAAATAATCTCGATACAATTAATCGTACATAAACTCGGTTTGCGGTTAAAAATACTTTTACCTCTAAATTCACTTCCCTTCATTAAAATCATCACAAATCCATGTAAATGAGTTTATTGACACAAAAATCCATTCAATCCATTGCTGGTTATAAAAGCGTTTTAGACAATAATATTCCAAAGGGCTAATACCACTACAACACCCGAACTATGAACAAAATGTCACTTGTGTCCTATTCTTTCCAATATTCCATTTGTGTCCTAAACTATTAGTCTGTTAGTGTTGACCGGTGTTGACCGTTAGTTTTTAACAGAAAATCCAGTCAGCGTTGACGTGGCATCTTACATGAAATTTTTTAATCCAATTTTTATTTATTTTCCAACTCATTTAAAAAATAAATAAAAATAAAGACCCTTCCTCCACCTTCCCTTTCCACCTCTCGCTTCTCTTCCAACCGACCATCGTCGTCGATTTCATCTTCAACTACTTCAACTCCATCACCTCCTCCTCCAGCCTCTTGCTACAGATCCGGCGCCGTCAAATTTTGAGTCCCCACACACACTCACCAAATCCACCACCTTCACCATCCGTCGAGCTATATACCTGCAAAGGATCCACACCAGAACCTGGGTTCCGAAATCACACCAACAGAGGCGAGATGAAGTGAAGGGGCGACATCGACTCCAAAGCTGAAAATGCCCACGAGGTCGTCGCGAAAATCGATCGAGGAGACGACGAAGGTCCTCTATCTTCCCTTTCGTTTCCCCATCTCGTCGAGGAGACGACGACGAAGATCGTTGCGAAAATCGATCGCCGCGAAGGGGTGGAACTCATTGTTGGCGAGGATCCCCGGCCGCCTTCATCGTCGGCGTAGCCCAACATCTGAAAAGAAAGATATACTTCGATTAGCT